GGGAATCGTCTACAATGATGGATGTATAGCCCACCCCCCCAGGGGAATGAAACGTTGGAGAAGGGAGACAGTGGACGGTGTAAAATAAGAAAATATTAACAATTTATAATTTATCAGAGGTCCATGTGTGGGAGGGTGTGGAAGGGAGGGGAAAAAGGAGGAGCTACTTCCAAGGGCTCAAGTAGAAAGGAAATATTTCGAAAATGATGGCAACATGAACAAATGAGTCTGATACAACTTATATATGGCTTATTACAAGAGCTGTTAGAGCCCCCCAATAAAATGACATTAATTTTTTTTAAATCACTTTATTGGGGGCTCATACAACTCTTATCACAATCCATACATACATCAATTGTGTAAAGCACATTTGTACATTTGTTGCCCTCAACATTCTCAAAACATTTGCTCTTCACTTAAGCCCTTGGCATCAGCTACTCATTTTCCCTCGCTCCTTCCCCACTCCCCCCTACCTCATGAACCCTCGATAATTTATAAATTATTTTGTCATATCTTGCACTGTCCAACATCACGCTTCACCAACTTTTCTGTTGAAAATGACACTGATTTTTTTTAAAAATACAGGAGGAAAACTGTATCAAACCCTTTCTATTATTCCATTAGCTTTTAAGTGAGAACAGCCAATACCTAAAAACAAGGAAAAGGCAAAACTAAAAAAGAGAATCAATGTCCAACATCCTTAAAAAAGAAAATCACTGGCCAAGCATAGGTACTAATTTTTTCAACAAAATTCTAACAGACTTCACAACCACCCCACCTCCCCCCAAAAAAATCACACCAAAAAACAAAAGCAACACTCCTCTACTGATACACACACCCCAAGTGAAATTTATGAGGATTGCAAGGGTGGTTCAACATTAGAAAATCAACAAATATAATAATCCAGCACACAGACTAACTATACAAATGGGGGAAAAAGACTATACAAATGAAAATAACCCTATCACCTGATGCAGAAAAAGCATGATAAAATCTAATAAAGAAACATACAGTAAAACCAGAAAGGGAAATTTGTGACATAGTTAAGGGCATATATGTAAAATCAACGGTCAACACTTTACTCAATTGAAAAAGGCAGTGAGCCATCCCTCTGAGAATTAGGAACAAGATAAGAATGTACATTGTTGCCATTCTTATTCAACATTGTACTGGAAGTCCTTAGCCAGAGCATTAACAAAGAAATGTGGAGAGCACAGAGTACAGACATTTCTAGATCTTTTTTTTTTTCTTTTCACATCTAGATCTTTATGGGACCCTGGCCGCATAGTGGTTACAAGTTGGGCTGCTAACCACAGGTTGAACAGCTTGCCATTAACTCATTTCCAAACAGTTCAAAACCACCAGCCACTCTTCCGGAGAAACATGAGGCTTTCCATTCCCACAAAGTTTTGCAGTCTGGGAAAGTTCTAGTCGGTCCTAAGAAAGATACTATGAATAGGTACCAGCTTGACAGCAGTGAGTTTGAGACTAAAATTGGTAAGACATACTGGTCTCATGAATTGGAAGACTTGACACAGGAAAATGTCAATCCTAACTAAGCAATCTAAAGAAAGACTCAATGCAATCAACACATCCCAACAATTCCTTATTGAAATGGGAAAACTTACTGACCAACTTCATATGGTGGAAAAAACCTGAATACTCAAAGCAAACAAAATAGGTTTCATAAGATCCAATATCAAAACAATGTAATCAAAACAGCTTGATATTAGTTCAGTCATAGACACATAGGTCAGAACAGAATTAAGAAGCTAGAATTAGACCCAGTTATCTATGGATAACTGTTTTTGACAGAGTCTACCAGTGTATAATAAATGATGCCTGGTAAAACAGAAAATCTACTTCCAGAAAAATGAAACATCACCATCCCTCACAATTCACACAAAAACTAACTAAGAATTACAGACCTAAATGTTAGCTCTAATACCTTAAAATTCCTGGAAGACACAAAGGAAGAAATCTAAGGGATCATACCTTTTGTAAAAAATGATTTACCTGTTAAGGGTCTAATCTCTAAAATCCATTAAAAAAAACAAAACACTGCAGTCACTCAAAAAGACAAGCCCATCCCAAAATGGGCAAAGGACTTTCCCAAACAAAACCTTCACAAAGGGGATCCAAGTAGCTATGAAGATATGGTCAAGATCATTCTTTATTAGATGCAAATTGAAAGGACAATGAGACTAGCTTAACAGAAAGGGCACTGATAAGAAAATACAACTAGAACTACCTTATGATCCAGCAATCCCACGCCTAAGTATGTATCCTAATACGCACAGCAACCCTGTAACAGAGCAGAACTTAAAGTTCTACGTTCATTTGCAAAAGCATAGTACTATCTTTCTCTCTTAAAGATAAGCTGGTGGGTTTAAAAAGCCAAATCAGTTAGCAGCTGAGCACTTAACCACATGACCAGAGCAACTTGGTATACTCCAAGTCCTGCAAATGACACACACAGGCCTAGCTACACCTGTGTTCACTGCACTTTATTCACAAAAGCAAATGAAGGAGAACAACCAAAAAAGCCCATCAACGGTAGAATGGGGTGGGGGGGATGTGGTACATGCATTCAATAGCATAATATGCAACTATAAAGAACAATGTAAGTCTGTAAAACAGGCAACATGGATGGACCTAACAAATATAATGCTAAATCAAGCCAGAAAGGGCAAATATTGCATGATTTCTCTTTCACAAGACAATAGAGATTCGTGCTCATTAGTGGTCACAAGAGACAGAGTGGGCAAAGTAGGCTTTTTATACAAGTAGGCACTGTGGATGTAATGAAAACAGCACAACCAAAGCAATAAGCAGCACTCAAGCACATATGGATGAGTGCAGGAGAACGGGTATATGGGTAGGCAAATGCATACATAGGTGGGGACAGATAAGTGTCTCCGGTTACATGTAATTCTGATACTCCCCAGACATAACCAAACACCTTTCATCATGGGTTTTCTGGGTTTTAAAGGCTAAGTCATATGGAACAATTCCAACCTCATCTAACCTGAGACTACGAAGAACTACGATGGTGTCCAACCTACCAGTTGAGGAAGTACTGGGATCCCAAGTCAAAAGGGAGAAAAACGTGGAAAATACGAATTCTTATTTTCAAAAATAAGTATAAAAAATGAAGAGCTGATACCAAGGGGTTAAGTAGAAGGCAAATGTTTTGAGGATGAGGGCAACAAATGTACAAATGTGCTTGGCATACAATGGGTGTATATATGGATTGCGATGAGCCCCAATAAAATGATTAAAAAATATTCACAAGTGGAACAGTAAGAGGTTGTCTTTGATTATCGCAGAGTCCTTTAATACTAGAACCAAACCTATCTGGGATCATCTATTAGCCAAATAGCAGAACTGCATACAAAAGAGTATATTACCCATAAGATCAATGGTCTACTTAACAAAAGATCGGCATGAGACCAGCAAGTCAACAATTTCTCAAACGCAAAGATTATAAGAGAACAAGGGAAACTAGTACTACAAAGTAAACAACACAAGAGAATGCTGGCACACTGATAACTCGAACTACTGGCACTGAACAACTTGTGTAGAAAGCATCAACGGAAACCTAACGTACTGTGTAAACTTTCACCAAATACTTAAAAACAAATTGCACACCTAGACAAGATTTTAAATACTGAAGGCCCCTTCCCCGGCTCTCTTATTCCCAGTTCTCTTAGGCTCCCTCTCGTTTGTCTAAGAGTGGTTCATGCTAACCTTTCATTGAGAACCTGCTCAGAACACCTCTGTTGGAATTTTTGCTAGCTCAATCTGAGTAAAAGAATCACACCCACAATCCAGAAGGTGCAGCGCGACATGGAGTCGATGAGCTCATAAAAAGGGAGGGCTCCTTCTAGGCCAGGGGCGGTCCTTAAGAGACAGGAAGCAGCAGAGAACTCCCTTAAAGGTATTGCAGCACTCCCCTCCCCTACTGAGAAGGGTGCGGCCTTCTCCCCACCTCTACTGCAGCTCCCTTAGGATTGCTGCCCCAGCCTACTTTTGAGCACCTATGCTTCCCACTCACGAACCAGCCAGGCCGACCCTACACCCTCCCCACCTCCACAGTGCTAGTAGCATATGGGACTCGTCTTGTCCTTCAGGAAGCGGGCGCCCCGGGCTGAGCCCTGGTCGCCGCCCCCAGAAGCCTCGACTGGCAGCCTACCCCCGCCCCCAGCGCGCGCTTCCTGCCACGTTGCGCAGGGGCGTTGGGCCAGACACTGCGGCGCTGGGCCTCCAGGACTAAACCAATGACCGCCTCCACGCCACCCTGGGCACCCCCCTCTCCACCGCGTAGTGGTTTCACTCATTTGGAATCTGAGCCAATAGCAACGGACCGTTCCTCGAGTTTCAGCAGCCAATCAAATGCCGAGATCGAGCAATCGGCGGGTAAACCGACACCCCCCACCCATAAAGGAGAGGGTGAGAAAGCGCGCGCGCGCGGGAGTTACTTTCTCTAAACGACACCCCTCCACCCACCACCACCACCAAAAGCCCCGGCCAACTCCCGCGGGGAGCCGACCGCGCCCGCACATCCAGCTCTCCTTCACCCCGCCCAGGGGGCAATGCGAAAGTCCCCAGGCGGCTGCGCTCTCCCGCTGCCGTAATTGACAGATGGCTTACTCCAACCAAAATACGCCATTTGTGTTTTCACACGGCGGGAGGAGAAGAGGCCAATCAGCGGCAAGACGTAAACCGGAAGCACTCCTCCCTTTACGAGTGCAAAGGCTCCGTCCGGTTCCGTGCTTTTCGCGCACCCTTCGCCCTCCCCCTCCGGTTGCGGCAGGGCGGGCCGCCCTCCCCACTGAGTCCGACCTCCCCTTTCCCGTCAGCTTAACAAATGTTATGCTCCCAGTTCCTCACGGGAGAAAGGGATGCCGAACTACCAAAAGGTCCGCCTCAGCCACCCCAGCCACCCCTAGCCCCCCAACCGACCCGGCCTCCCTCCAACCAGAGCTCCGCTCCCCTACCTAGCCGAGGCTCTCTGAGGATCCGGAGCCCCAGAGCACAGCCTCTTCTCCAGGAGGCCCGGCAGCTTCCGCTGATTGGCGGCGAACTGGCCAATGGGTACGGGGCGGTGGGCGAGGAAGCCAATGGCGCAGCGGGAGGGGGCGTGTCTGGGTGCCCCTGGCGCCGGCGCTGGGAATCCCCGTGCGGTCAGTGGCGTTTCCGCTCGGGCAGCGGCTGCAGTAGGTTCCAGTCTGGGTCTCTGTGACAG